ATAAATAAGTTTTTTAAATTTTGACATGTTTGTAGAATTGTCCAGTTCGGTATTTACTTATGCTTTAAGAATTTAGTGTGAATAAAGCATCTTTATTTTTTTTTATGCTGTCTGGCTTGCTAAGGAAGCTGGCCAATCAGGAACCAGGACCAACCCCCATGCTTCCTGTTTGGTCATGGAGTCGGCTTCCGGGCCAATCAGAAACCTGGGCGGTGTGTAATGACTCGCAGCCCGGTTTACTTAGCAGAGGGTGGGAAGAGGAGCAGGCCTGGACGGAGGCGAACGTCTGTCATCTTCCCTGAATTCACTTCATACTCGTACTCGCTCAAATGCTCCCTTATCCCAATATCGGTACTTCTGGTATCAGGAAGCCGGGTGGCGCGTCATTACATGCCACCTGGCTTCCTGATTGGTTGGGAAGCTGGCCGGCAAGTCATTACCTGCCCCCTGATTGGCCAGAAAGCCTGCTCCATGCTTCCGCGTCACCTGGTGACGAGGGAGCATGGCGCTAGCTTCCCGGCGAGTCATTACACGCCACCTGGCTTCCTTAATGGGACTTCCGGTATCGGTTTTTCACTATCGGCGAGTACCGCAAAAAGAATATCGGTACTCGATACTGAAAAAACAGTATCGGTGCATCCCTAGTATCCATGGTGCTGGAGGCTGGCTGGCCTGCACCATGGACTAGCAAGACATTGCAAACATTTTGAGGCACCCTGTTTGAGAAAGGCTGCTCTAGATGATCCACAAGAAGCTGCAGCAATTGGCAGATGACCGCTTTCTATTTTCCAATGAAACAATGCCGGATTACCGAGGGTCATCAGTGATGGGGGTTACATGTGTTTAAAATGGTTTTCTAAATGCATCTAATGATTTCCAATGGATCTAGTCACATCTTGTGTTTGGATGCTGTTACCTGCAGTCAGATTGGCTGCGTTGAGAAAAAAAATAGAAGTCAAGTGTGTCCAGGAATTGATTTTAACTTCTAAATGCACCAAAACGCATGTAACTGCATGTAAACGCAAGACTCATTTATTTGCAGAAATTTCATAGGCCACTCCATTTGACTGTTTCAATGTACATAGGACAGATGCAACTAGACGCTGGTCATACCTAGAAGCATAAATGAAGCAGCCAGCTACCGACAGATCTCTGCAGAAAAACACGTGGCCAGTGTGAATGAAGCCTTGGGCTATGTCACTATCTGCCACCTGTGCATTATATCCTGTGTGGCTTCTGCTGCTTTATAAACTTTGGGGGGCACTTTATAAAAACTGGAGCAGACAAAGTTTGGTGCAGTCGCCCATGGCAATCAATCAGCTTCTCTCTTTCATTTTTAAAGCACAACTGAACAAACTGAAGAGAGAAGCTGATTGGTTGCCATGGGCAACTGCTCTAATTTTTTTGGGAGCTGTGATTGTACCGGATTTATAACTGCAAGCTCAACTGATGTTCCCGGATCCAGCGATTCTCAGGGTGGACTATTGCTCGGGCATGTCATGTTTGAAGCCTGTGCTCACATAGATACATTACAGTAAGTGGTCATCCTAGGACAGGATGTGTGTTTCCAGCAGGAGACAATAAAGGATAAAATCCTGAAGAAAAGATAACTAGAGCCGCCACCTCATCTAACAACCGCGAAGCTGCAACATGTTTTGTTCTATTTCCCATCATGCCCCGGGGCAATACATAGTTTGTCCATCTATAGGAGCACCGAAGAAAACACACTGCGGAACTCACAGCTGGGAGACTGTCAGCTGAATCCTGCCCCGGAAGTGAGCTCGGGGGGCGGGGCGTGTGACGTGTCTCGTCTAGTTTGGCGGGATATTCGTAAGGCCCGGAGTACGGCTGATGTGTGTGTATTGAAGTGGACGGCGGAAGCGGGCCGGTGTAACCGGGGCTGGGAGATCCGGCTTATCTGCGATCTGTATGAAGGTCTCGGTGGTTGGCTGGAGGGCAATTCGTGTGTGACAGTGAGTGCGCCAGCTGGGTTATATGACCCGCTCAGCTCCTCCATACTGCTAGATGGAAGGGACGGCCGGGCTGTGTTTGTGAAGTGCGGGCTTGGGTGACCGCAGCTAGTATCATGAGCTATGGTGACGAGTGTGACTGTTCACAACACAGTGACCACAGCTGACCGGATGTGTGTTAGGTAACAGCAGTCAGCGAGCCCCGCCCTGAGGGTAGGAGCCCCATATAGACCCCAGTGTGTATGGTGTAGGGCAGTGGTTCTCAACCTGTAACCTCAGGACCCACATTTTGTCCTTGGTCATTAAATCGTGACCCAAGTCGTTTTGCAATGGAATGCACGGCTTTGTGGTACCTTGCATTTAGGTGCGGGCCATCAAGCTGTGAGTGTGGGGTGCTATTCAAATGAATTGCAACCCACCAGAACACATGGTAGGTCCACCCAGTCTCTCTACCTTACAAGAACTTGAGTGGATCCTCAGCCTGGGGTCCAGTTTAGACTGCTGTGACGGAACTCTATCCATATATGCATTGCTTGTACAGCTCCCTTGTGCGCTACACGTCAGGCATCTCGCCGCAGTGCGTATGTAATTTATTGTGTGATTTGAGCTGTATTGCTATGTGGTGTTTATGCGCTGCGTCGCAGTACGAGGTAGAATGTACCCCGAATGTATAGCTTGTTTTTTGTATATTTTATTACATTAATAAAGTATATTTTTCAATCAAAAAAAAAAATCCCTTGTGCGCCATGTAGAGGTGTCAGGAGCCAGAATGTGATGTCACTCCGGTCCAGGCACTATAGGAGCTGTAGGCAATGCACGTATGGCTGGAGCTCCCTCGTGGCCATAGCCCTATCCCACCTGAAGCCTACACTCTGGCTGCTGGGCACGAGAATTGACAGTGCTGCACTAGGGGGAGGCTGAGGAGCCTCTCGCCTAGAAAAGGGGAGTGCATGTGGTGACCCACTGAACATGGGGTCGCGACCCACCAGTTGAGAACCACGGGTGTAGGGTGTACATTGCTCTGTGTACTTTGTGCTGTTGTGGACATAGTTCTGCTTTGGCCTGTAGCTTCCTATATCAGGGACACAGCAGAGGTTGTTGGGGGTTCCAGTGTTTGATCTTCTGCATGACAGTCCCAGTCATATAGGTGATGTTCAATAATGAACCCTCCTAGGGACACATGAATGGCCCTGTAATGTGGTAACCGGATCCCTGAGGGCCCGGTCAGACATAGCGGTGACCTGTATTTTACTGCACCAGATCAGCACAGGACTCCACTAGGATCCCTAGAGAACAGTTGTTTTTGTTTCCCATTCTCGCCACAATACTGGTGCGCTGTGGGAAAAATGCAGACATGCTGTATTTTTTCACAGTGCATTGGAGGCCACGGCAGGTCACAGCATGGAGGCGCAGCCATAATACAAGCCACATAATGTTTTGAAATGCACTGTGCTGGAGATGTCAATCCTCCTAAACGCAGCATTTCAGCGGATGGACTAGTGGCGTGGTTCTCAACTTGTTGGTCGTGACCCAAAAGTGGGTCGCTGCATGCCTTTCACTGCACTAGATGAGAGGCTCCTCAGCCTCCACCTAGCACAGCACTGTCAGTTCTCGTGCCCAGCAGCCATTCAAAATATACTGCCTGGCGCGGAGTGTGCGCGTAAGGTGGGCTGGGCTTGGAGTATGGCTGTGAGGGTGCTCCATTCATACGTTAATTGCTTTCACTTTGTTTACTCACAATATGTCATTTTAATTCAACCCTATGCACTGCAGTTCACTGCAACGTCATGTAGTTCATCAGTGTGATGTGTAAAAACGGGTCCTACGTCTTCAGTGTGTTGGTGCGAACTGAAACGGGACACAAAGCAAGCTGCCACCTCTATGCATTGAGCATTGCTTCCTAATGGGACTGGTTTGGACAAGCCTGTAGAGAGCCCGTTGCTGGTGTGACTTGGCCCCAAGTATGACACCTACTTTATCATTTAATTTCTTCCTGTATGTAAAGCTAACTGGTCACACTAGTGTACTATAAGCTGTTGGCAAAGGTTCCTCTACCAGTCATGACTGCGTATCTCCAATGATTTTTACAATGTTTTATAAGTGGGGGACATCGGATCAAATGTTTGCTGTCACATTTCTGATTGAGGACCTGTGTCAATAAGCTTTTACTCCTATCAGATGGGGTCTGCATTCCTTCCTGTACAAGTCTATGGGAATGCAAAGCCAGCTTGAAGCCGGTCAAATATGGGTCATGAGGAGGACCAATGCATGCCAGTTGCACCTTTCATGGCTTGTTCACACCAAATGCAGACCAGATCTGCATGAGTTTCTGCACACGCAGTGCAGTGAGTTGTGCTGCGTTTTTGATGCGTTCCAGGCCGTTTTTGTAAACGTTTTTAGCCTGGGATGGACTTTCAGGGCGTTTGCATGCATTCCAGAGCAGGAAAAATGGGGCTTGCTGCATTTTTTTACATGCTCTGGAACTGAACGCTCCGGTGTGAACTAGAGCACAAAATACCATTGGAATACATTGGGCGCAGTTTTGATCCGGTCTGTAACTGCTCTGCTCCTGGAACGCGCTTGGTGTGAACTAGTCCTCAATGATCTCAGAAGCGTCCTAAACTGATGCCATCCACACAAGTCCAAAGCTTGTTGACCCAGGCCCTAACTTTGTTATTCTTCTTGTTGACGATTTATGATATCTTGGTCTACTCCACAGCTGAAATGGAGATCTCTTCTATCTACGCTGTAGTTGTAAAAATTTATATAAATATATATTACTAACATGTAACGTTTCCATCCAGTTTCATTTGAAGAAAGATGGCCATGCAAGCCCAATATGAAGCATCTGCCGAAGAGGAAACCTTTGGGCCTCAGCTGATATCCAGGCTTGAGGTAACGTTTGCACAGATTCAAAGCTATGTATACAATCTTACTCGTGATATTTGATACGCAGTCCCGCAGCTAAGTGATACCTGCTCTTTAGTGTTTCCTTGTTGGAATTATGTCAGTGTGCTTAGTATAGCTTTATGACCCTGTATATTGGGGTCTTGTTCACACCAGTACCATGTCATCTCTCTACGTTTTGTAATGATGTAGAGAATACTTTTTCAGATCAGCATGTTCTTTGAGGTGATTCCTATTATCCTTTCATATAAAACCCGGCGCACAAATCTAAGTGCAGTATAAAAGTAACTGTTTAATAAAGGTTAAAAATAATGCACTTACAGGATATTTAAAAACATCTCGCCTGTCGCACATCAGATGGAAGTCCCATCTCAGCTGCTTGTCCAAGATTGTTTTCAGGATAGATGGCACATAGAGAGAGCAAAGTCCAGTCCAGAAAGATTCCAGATCACCTGTGCTGGAAGACACAGATCTGATCCAATGGCTGACCAGTGCTGTAGCTACCGTGTTTCCCCGAAAATAAGACAGTGTCTTATTTTTATTTTTTTCACGAAAAAAGACACTAGGTCTTATTTTCGGGGTAGGTCTTATATTACAGAAATCCCCGAAGATAGCACTAGGTCTTATTTTCGGGGTAGGTCTTATATTACAGAAATCCCCGAAGATAGCACTAGGTCTTATTTTCGGGGTAGGTCTTATATTACAGAAATCCCCGAAGATAGCACTAGGTCTTATTTTCGGGGTAGGTCTTATATTACAGAAATCCCCGAAGATAGCACTAGGTCTTATTTTCGGGGAAGGTCTTACTTTTGGGGAAACACGGTAGTTCTTCTCAACGCGGGATCACAGCTGCTGAGTACTCCCGTGTCGTCAGATGTCAGACGTTGCTAGGCAATGTGTTTCAGAGGTTCACCTCCTTTGACAAGCCTAAGAGTGGAGTGGGCAGGGTCCTTTCTATAGGGGAAGATTGAGTGCTTTTGGCACCAAATATGTGATAGCTCTGTAACTGATCTATATAATGTTCCTGGTTGTTTACATGTTGGCATGAAAGGGTTACTTCAGCAGTTAAAAAAAAAACCCTCATCCCCCCCCCATGCCAGTCTATATAATATCGGCACTTGAAAACTTTACTATGCACCCTCAAAGGCCTGTATAGCAATGTAATGCTTGCAATGAGGAGCATCACCACACTCGCCAATAAGGATATATCTTCTAGGCCGCAGTCCTTAAAGCATGCTCCGAAGAAATTCTTATTGGTCAGCACAGTCGCATGGCAGCACTGATCAGTCACCACTAGAGCTGCAGCTAACGATTATTTTCAAAATCGATTAGTTAGCCGATTATTAAGTTCGATTAATCGGTTAATCGGATAAACAATAAAATACATTTTAAAAATGGCTCCAGTGATGGACTACTAGTTTGTATTGAGATTGCACTCCATATCTCCATTGCAAGCATTATGCTGCTATATAGCCTTTGTGATGAAGTTTTCAAGTGTTGGGACTATTATGCAGGCGGGTGAGGGTTATCATTGCAGATCCGTGCAGTGGAGAGGAGGGTGTTGTGAGTGAGTGGTTGCGTCACCCAGTAGAATTTGATCATTTCACCGTATTTTTATTCATTTATTTTTAGTTTAGTGACATTTGGTGTCTTATACATTGATTCTTCCTCTATCACTGGGATTAAGAAGTTTCTTCACAGCTTGTCCAGCTACAGTTTGGAACAGTTATACCACCAATATGCGAAAAGGCTTTTTACATAGGACACTGAACAATGGCAGGAGTTCAACTGTTTCTTTTTTTGTTTTTTGTTTTTTTTTCTATTTAGCAATGTGGAATCAATGCAAATGATGTGAAGAAACTGGAAGAGGCTGGATTCCATACAGTAGAAGCAGTTGCTTATGCACCAAAGAAGGAACTTCTTAACATTAAAGGAATTAGTGAGGCCAAAGCTGAGAAAATCCTAGTAAGTCGCATTATTATTTTCATAGGAAAAAGTGACCAGAAGCTTTGTTGAGGTGACAGGATAGTAATCCTTAAACCACTTATAGTGAAGGTATGAGAAGAGTTTGCTGTACTGCCATGATCAGTTTATATTTTGATTGGGGCAGAAATTGGCTTAAAGGAGAACGGTGGTTAAAATTCCTGTCTGCTTTTTTTTTGTTCCTCCTTTTTATATTGTAACATGACAACAGTAGAGAAATATGTATTTAGTATGTATTATTCAGTATAGCTCAGATGTTTTCAGTACCTCTGTGATGTAGCAGTGTTCTAGCTGTTACAGTCTTCTACTTTGGCTCTAACTTCCATGGTTCTGCTATATTCCTCCAATTATAACAAACCTTATGTTGATTTTACTGGTTTAGGTTTTCTTGTCTGCAGCTTTGATTTCCTGCTTCAATAATGTAGCTTCAGTCACTGCTGTTGCAAACCTGATTTCATCATTTATTTATCTTGTGTATTGTGCAGGGTGACTCAAGCACTTACCCAATGTCTGTTTCCAACCCCGCCATGTTTTTTAATTGAGCATTTGAAAACCTGTATCTGTATATTTGAATCTGCTATGTGGTGAGAGACAAGCTATGTCCTGTTGCAGCCTTGGGCTCTCTGCTGCACCATGTACTCTCTACACTTCAATGAGAGAAATATATAAGCTGCCATTGCTTGTCCGTGAACATGCTAGGTATCTGTCTGCTATGTGACCCACTGGTTTCAATACCTTCTGAGTCACTGACTCGGATCAGGAACGTCAGAGAAAAGTCATAAGTCCTTATGTGCATGCTTGTTCCTGATCAGTGACTCAAAGTATTGAAATAAGAGGGCCAAACTCAGTCAGGCAACTCATTTTTAGAAGGAAAGATCAGACATGCAATCTAGTTTCTCTTGTGATCTACTTTAAGGCAAATCTGCCTTTCTCACAGCGATACCCTGTAAAAGAAGAAACGTTATGCTTGCCTTTCCAGTGGGTGGTATGTTGAAATGTTGCTATGTTGAAGTGCTCCGGGGGTGCTACTACCCAACACTTTGGTGTAAAGCTTCTTTTGCAGGGTATTTCTGTTGGCAGAGTTTACATCTTCTGACAAGGTAACTTTAAAGCTAGATTTTCTTCTTAAACCTGCATAATGATGGTTCCAAACTTGTATAAATTACGTTACAGATATAAAATTGCTGTTTTCATCCTAAAGGCAGAAGCTGCTAAACTTGTTCCCATGGGATTTACTACAGCAACAGAATTCCATCAGAGACGTTCTGAAATAATACAGATTACGACGGGCTCCAAAGAGCTGGACAAGTTACTACAAGGTGCACACATTTTCCTTTTTATTACATGTAAAACACATACAAGGCTCATTGAAATGTGAGGAAATTTTAAACAATTGTCTCATGTATACTTGCATGCCTTTTGGTATGTTCTAAAGTAAATCAAATCAAGTATGAAAGGAAACCAGCTATTCTGCAGAGAGATTTTAAAATGACCTGGACAGATTTGTTGGTATCCTTAAAGAAGATAAAAATTGGATCATATTGATATTTCAAACTGTTTTCTGTCATTAGTTTTACATGTCTTCAATGTTGTAGTCAGTCAGCTTATTTAAATAGAGAAAAGTAGTCAATCTGCTGTTTGGTATCATTGTGTGCTCCACACTGAACATGAACTGGAGAAAGCAAAGGATAGAACTGTCTGAGGAGATCAGAAAGGAAATAAACAAGCATGTCAAATGTAAAGGCTATAAGACCATCTCCAAGCAGATTGATTGTTCCTGTGACTACAGTTGCAAATATTAAGTAGTTTAAGGTCCATGGAAATGTAGCCAACCTTCCTTGACGTGCCCACAAGAGGAAAATTGATCCCAGATTAAACAAGAATTGTGCCAAGGAAAACTTTCAAAGAGATACAAGCTGAAGTCCAAAATCAAGGTCCATTGGTGTCTGATAAAACCATGCTTTGCTTTTTGAGTGATAGTGGGCTCAAAGGAAGAAAACCCAGGACAACGCCACTGTTGAAAGAAAAACATAAATGGCAGAATGGAAACTGTTAAATGCATATAAACAAGCCAAAATGTTTCTGGGAGCATGTCCTTTGGATAGATGACACATTTGGAGCCTTTGGGCTAGTTATGTCAGCTCTGTGTTCAGGCTAAAAAAAAAAGCTTTCACAGTAAAGAACACCATACCTACTCTAAAACATGGAGGGGGCTTGGTTATGTTTTGGGGCCTGGCACCGGGTGAATCTATGCAGGGCATAATGAAATGTCAAAAGACCATCAAGGAATTCTGGAGCAAACATACTGCCCAGTGTCGGAAAGCTCTGTCTCCTTTGCAGTCCATGGATCCTCAAAGAGGATAATGACCCAAAACACAGCTAATGGTACCAAAGAATGTGTAAGAATAAAACACTGGACTATCCTGAAGTGTACTTCTATGAGCCCTGAAATGCAACCTATCAAACATCTATGGAAAGAGCTGAAACATACAGTCTGGAGAAGGCACCCTTCAAACATGTGAAAGCTGGAGCAGTTTAAGAGTGGGCCAAACTACCTTTACCGCACGCCAACAATCTTCTGTCGATAAAATATAAGTTACTCAAAATGTATACATATACACAGCTGTAGACAAATCTGTTGGAAACCTTCCACGTAAAAAGAACCCACAATTTTCTATTTATTATTATTATTACATAGTATTAGCGCCAACAGTTTGCGCAGCGCTTTACAATGTAAGGAAGACATTACAATACAATTCAAGACAGGATGGTAAGGAGGGCCCTGCCCCTGAGGGCTTACAATCTGAAAGAGGAGGAGGAAATGATACATGAGGAGGTAGCGGTGTGGGGATGAATTGTTTGAGAATGTGATGGTTCAGTGGTTAGGTTGAGGTGGGATAGGCTTCCCTGAAGAGAAGAGTCTTCAGGGATCGCCTAAAGACAGTCAGGGTGGGAGATAGACGGACAGGTTGGGGTAAAGAGTTCCAGAGGATGAGAGAGACTCTAGAGAAGTCTTGGAGGCGAGTATGGGAGGAGTTGACTAATAACTTGAAGATTGTACTTGTAATAACTTGAAGCTTACATAATCGGGTTGAAAAAAGACAAAAGTCCATCGAGTTCAACCTATACAGATATGAGAAAAAAAAGAAAAGCCTAAACAGAATGCTATGCCCACAATTACCCCTTGTTTATCCAGAGGAAGGCAATTAAAACCCCTATAAAGCATGGTTCAATTTGCTCCAGCAGGTTAAAAAAAATTCCTTCCTGATCCCATAAGGCAATCGGATATTCCTGGGATAAACAATCTCTGGTGCTTAACCCCTTCGTGACTGACGACGTACAGTGTACGTCGCCAGCATCGGGGCTGTTTAAACAGACTCCCGGCGACTTTTGCCGCCGGGAGTCTGTTTAAACTTGTAGAGCCGACTGTCGGCTTTACAACAGAAGCGATC